AAGAAAATGTCCGGTCAAGACCGGCCCTCGCGGCCGGACACCTTTTAGACCGACCGGCCGGCGATCACGTACGGCTTTTAGGTCGTTCGAACCGGCCGGCCGGACGTTTTTTGGACCGTCCGGTTTCGGCGGTCGGACGGTCTAAAAGCCGTACGCACATAATAATTTGTAACTCCTAACACGATAATATCTAACGTCCAATTTATAACATAATCAAATCTACTATACAAGATAATAATTTCTAACTCCTAACACGATAATATCGAACGTTCAATTTATAACATAATTATTTCGAATATATAACATAATTATTTCGAATATATAACATAATAATGTATAATAATATTATTTAAAAAAAGAAAATGTCCGGTCAAGACCGGCCCTCGCGGCCGGACACCTTTTAGACCGATCGGCCGGCGATCGCGTATGGCTTTTAGGTCGTTCGAACCAGCCGGCCGGACGTTTTTTGGACCGTCCGGTTTCGGCGGTCGGACGGTCTAAAAGCCGTACGCGATCGCCAACCGGACGGTGAAAATTCGTACCTCGAAATTTGAAGACATTTCGCCGTACACTTTGCTCTGATATGTTTTGAAAAAATGAAAAGGGAAAAATCGTCCAAGGGAGCGGTGACTAGTAATAGCGGACGGTAAATAATAATGCCCTTTCATTTTTATTGCATTATATTATATTAATTTTAATTCAACCATGAATAATATTATTGTTGGATATCTAAATTGTAAACATTACTATCATATCGTAAAAGAAAGTCTAATACCTAAGCTACAAATCTGATTATAGGATTTTAATGTACAATAGAGTCTTTGTCGATATCTATATTGTAAACATTACTATCATATCGTAAAAGAAAGTCTAATACCTAAGCTACAAAATCTGATTATAGGATTTTAATGTACAATAGAGTCTTTAATTAATGATCGAGAGATAATATTGAACTTGAAAAAAATAGAATCCTATATACGCACTCAGTTAATTAGCCTACTTAAACTACCACAAACCTATATAACAATTTTTGGCGTATGGTAAGTTGGATAATCTTGAAGTAGACTGATTTGTTATTATCTTAAAATTTAAAATTTATATGAAATAAAATAGTGTGAAAATTTCAAAATTAGTCCCACAGATATAGGGGTGACAATTTTGGTCCCGACGGAATGGATAAAATATGAATAGTCCCACAGCTTTTAAAAAATGATCAAAAGTAGGACTTTTTCGCCGGATTTACTATTTCTGGCCCGGAGCGACACGTGGCGTACACGTGGCGCACACGTGGCTTATTTTTTACACGCTGGCATCCGACGTAGATAGGAAAAAATTCAAAACTAGTCCCACACGTATAGATGGGTGACATTTTTGGTCCCGACGGAATGCATAAAATTCAAAACTAGTCCCACAATTTGTAAAAAAATATGAACACGTCGGATGCCACGTGACGTTCCGGGCCGAAAATAGTAAATCCGGCGAAAAAGTCTTACTTTTGATCATTTTTTAAAAGTTGTGGGACTATTCATATTTTCTGCATTCCGTAGGGACCAAAATTGTCACCCTCCTATACTTGTAAGACTAATTTTGAAATTTTCCCTAAAATAGCCATATAGTAACTATTGTTATAATGATTTCTTTTCAACAACTATTATTTTTTTTTTTTAATCACAACCATAAGTCCCGCCGACACCCCGCTGAGAATAGCCTAAGTGGCTATCCACACCAACCTCTTTCATTTGGTTCGGATCCTCTCACGTGTACTGAGTGATTTGTTCTAAAAACAGTATTGCACTTCAAAACTTTTAATTTTCATTCGAGGATATGTAAAATCATTATTTTCATGATAATTACTAGTCATACTTAATTACATATTTAGTTTTACATTTCAATTTATCTATAATTGTTCGTTTGACCTATCATGAAATACGCATTATTAAATTTATTCCTTTTTCTTTTTCTTTTTTCTTTTTTACTTCATTATATTATATTATTTTAATTCAATTGGGAAAAAATTGTTGTTGGAAATCAAAATTGCAATCATTAATATTATATTGTAAAAGAATGTCTAATACCTATTCAACTTGGAAAATACTACTGTTGGATATCAAAATTGTAATCATTACTATTGAAGATTGGGGATGGCAAATCTGTGAAAATGTGGGAACAACCATGGATACCAGGGATCAGCAGGAATATGCTTATAGGCCCAACACCCAGAAATATAAGCTTCAGCAGAGTGATAGATCTCATTGATGAAACTGGGAGAGGCTGGAATAGGAAGATTGCGGAAAGCCAGTTCCTACCTGAGGTAGACGTGGCCATTCAACGGGTCCGGGCCCAGCCCGCCGGGTCGACGGTCCGCTTGGACGAGGCCCGGTCCCGGACCGGTTCTGAGCCTGGACCCGCCGGTTCGTCGACCCACCGGTTTTTTANTTTTTTTTTGGTAAATAAAAAATATGTTGAGATGTATTACCGTTTTTTATTGATTGGCGGTTCCGCCGGTATAGTGTTATTTTGTAGGACTTGCGAAATTCAATTTTACTATGTTAGTTAAACAGTATCTTGAGTTTCATCAATGTCATCATGCAATCCGACTCCAATACACAGTCTGGAGTAATATATCCGTTCTTTTTGTTAGTGTCCTCAAGCATGTTACTTAATAGATGTTGTCCAAGTTATCATCTTTGGTGTGCAAGATGTTGATACTATTATCCCACAGTCCCATACGGGTACATACCTTTTCACGCATAACTGGTACCGTTGGATAATGATATAAAACTAATGTCAAATGTTGATGACTCAACTGCAAGTTTACCATAACATTATTTTGCATCCCTTTTCTCGACATTGAGTACATATTCAAAAGATAACTAAGTATGTATAAACGTTCTATTGTTTGTGCTATAGCAGGCGAAATTTAAAATTGAAAGCATAATACATAATAAAGAATATTGACGTGTCATCACAATTCCCTTTTGTTGTTAATGTTTTTGAGTTAATATTTGAACTTTAGAAGATGAACTCAAAACATTAACTTCATTTAGGACAATGATATCAGGTCAATATTCTCCATTACATATTATGTTGTCAATGCTAGATTACGCCTGCTATAACACAAACAACAGAATGCTTATAGAGACTTAGTTATCTTTTGAATATGTACTCAATGTCGAGAAAAGGGATGCAAAATAATGTTATGGTAAACTTGCAATTGAGTCATCAACATTTTACATTAGTTTTATATCATTATCCAACGGTACCAGTTATGCGTGAAAAGGTATGTACCCGTATGGGACTGTGGGATAATAGTATCAACATCTTGCACACCAAAGATGATAACTTGGACAACATCTATTAAGTAACATGCTTGAGTATCCAGTTCCCTTTGCCCTTTCAACGCCAACATTCTTGTAGGGATTTAATGATGCCCACCACTCCTGAAAGTTCGAAGCGCCTACTTGACTACCGCCGTAAGAAGAAGACCCGCTACTGCTGCCCCCGCCGCCACGAACAAATGTGCTGGGAGGTTTGCCTTGTGCGATCGCTGTTTCTCTAAACATGTCATACAACAAATTTTTTGCTTGATTGACGAGCAGCAGTACGTTAGGTTTTTGACTGTATGTCGGGACATCAGTCGGGATTGAGAGTTCATACATATAATTATAGTACATGTTAAGCTGCTCTACCAAGCGAGCTTCATGTACCGAAGAATCTAACAAACATGCAACTAAATGTGTATCAGGAATGAAAATAATAATATTTTAACTATTTCTTTAACATTTTCTCAACTAAATAGCCATATTTATTAAAATTCAAGTCGTAAAGATCCTTGAAAGCCCACATTATGGCTATAGCTTGACTTAACACAAGCTGAGCAGTAGGATAATAAACACCTGAAAGCATGTTAGTAGCATTTTGAAATGTTTCTAAAAATTGAATAAGTGCATTACAGTTCTCCCAATCTCTTGTTGACACTTAGACATCACAGTCCTTACGATTTGATTGGTTAAAAAAATTCTGCAATTGTGTCATAAACGGAACCGTGTCACTCAACATTTTAAATGTTGAGTTCCACCGATTAGGAACGTCGGGTTGAAATTTTTTAGGTTTCACCCCTTGATCTTTACAAAAACGTCCCCATGCTTTCAGTTAAACGGGACGTTTATGTAAATAATTAACAGCGTCCCTAATTGGCGTGACCGAATCTTTAAAAGCATGATAACCAACTTGTACACAGAGATTTAAGACATGACATATACAACGAATATGAAAAAATCTTCCGCCGCAAACTGGAATGCAAATATCGGTAAGTTCACGTATAGATGCAGTATTTGCAGTAGCATTATCAAACGAAATGGAAAACACTTTTTTACCTATTTGATATTTATCCAAAATTTTAGAAATTAAACGAGCAATATTAGAAGCAATGTGTCGTTCATGAAATGCAACATAAGCAATTAAACGTTATTGTAAACTCCAATTTTCATCTATCCAATCACAAGTAATTCCCAAATAGAAATTATTTTGCCAATGATCAGACCAGATATCAACACAAATGGATACTCTATGATTTAAAGATTTAAAAATTTCTTGCAAAATTACTTTTTTTTCCGCCACTATTTTTCGAATATCGTTAGTAAGAGTAGTACGTGGAACCCGGTGGGCAGCCGGATTCAAAGCCATTCGAGCAAAATGTTCATATAAATCACTATCACCAAAGCTAAACATAAGAGATAAAGCAGAAAAAAATTCAGCTAAATGGCGTCGATGATTTTCATGTGAGTACTGAAATAAAGATGGCGTACCTGTACCAATCATGGAAGATGCAGCGCTACTACTCGGGAGTTGCGTCTGTGCCCTGTCAATTCCCAATTTTGTCGGATGATTCCTCTCTAAGTGTCGTTTCAACGATCCGTACCCGTCGCCTTTTTTGAAATCGTACTGCTTCTTCTCGTTCGTCGGGCAGTAGTTGCAAACAGCATAAAAGTGATTCTCACCTCTTGTCGGATTGACCATCTTCGTGTAATGTTGTTTGAATATGGCAGATGTCGGTCTGGCACGGGCGGAAACAGAGGCCGGGTGGCCCGGGTCTGGGACCTCCGGGTCCGCCTGTTGCTGCTGCGTCGGTTGCTGAACCTCCGGCGGGGACTCTCCAAATATATCATCGAAATGGTCGTGATACGACTGCTGTTGCTCTTGTTGCTCAGGCTGAATTGAGCCAAACATTCACTCGATCGCTGCCTCATCAATGTCATCAGCGACACCGGGAATATCCACATGTATCGATGGACTCGCAAATTCCGGCAATGGAGGTCTCGACGAAGACGTGCCGGTGCCGATATTTCTACGTTTCTGTCTGAAATTCGAACCACGACCACCACGAGAGCTTGACATTTTATAATTTAAAGAATAAAAAATAAATGGGGGAAAATTATATAGAATATGATGAAATAAAAATAAATGGGGAGATGTGGTGTTTTTTTTTTCCGAATTTCTTTTTTTTTTCTTTTTACAAACTAAAAATGATTAACCGAGAAATGAAAACCGAACACTAGAACTTAGAGAGTAGAGAGTCTTAGAGACTTAGAGAGAAGGGAGAGAGAGTGAATTAATTTGATTTTGGTG